TGTAAATTTCTGTCATCCTAGTGTTTCAGCCAATGCTATTAAGTTTTGGGCATGCTCGATTTTGATTAACTCCATATTCCAGGCTATCCCTGTTGCACCTGAGTATATATGGCTCGAAGTTGCTACTGTCATGAGAAATTCAAAATTTTTGGATGTTTCTGTGAGGTTTCATCTGCAGGCGATATCAGTCTATCCCTTCTCCATTAAATTGTGGCGGTCATACTTGGATATCTGTAGAAGTACTGACAATATTGATAAGATCGTAAAATGTGCAAGAGAAAGAGGTGTTGAACTTAGCTGACCCGTAGCTGATTTTTTGCTGTGTTCATCCGTAAGAAATTTATGAATGAGCATTAGAAGCTACGGGAAGCAAGTAGAGATATCCATGTTATCCAATGAGTTTTATCGTCATTGGGATCAAAGGTGAACAAATGGAAGTAGCATTGTTGTTATATCGTTCTCCTGATTTTTGTTATATAATTCTCCTGACACGAAAGTCTGTTCTATTGGCACTCGGGAGTAAGATGGATACACATATAAGTACTTGTTATATAGGAAACTTATAACTTTGTTGTCTATTTTCTGATTTGTTATTTGTTTATAGTTTGGCATTGTAAGCGGGAATACTTCGGGGTAGTTGCTCTGTGTAGCGAGGATGAAAAATGAAATTTTACTGAAAGATTTTAAAGCTATTTACTATCTATATTCAATTTTAATGAATGGAGTTTTTGTTTTTCCTTTTATTAATTATTGGATATTTTAATATTTTTTTATGAATCTCAGTGTCATGTTGAGAATAATATGAATGTTTTCTATGATAGTTACCTATGAATGGAAAAATTGTCATTAATGTATATTAGAAATTTGTAGTCTATAATGACGGTTTTATAAACCGTATTTTGTTCATCAACGAAGAAATTTGTAGTCTATAATGACGGTTTTATAAACCGTATTTTGTTCATCAACGAAGGGAAAGCACCATCATTGATGGGTTACTAATTACCCACCATTTATAAACCGTATTTTGTTCATCAACGAAGGGAAAGCACCATCATTGATGGGTTACTAATTACCCACCATTAGGACTTTTAAGACGGTATTCATCCATCATTAATTGGTCTTCAACGACGGGGTTGTCACCTGTTATTACACAACAACGGGAATGAAAAACCGTCATTTAAAGTAACGACGGGAAATATCTCCGTAACTAATGGTAACAACGGGAAAAAATCCCCATCACTGATGGTAACGTCGGGAAAAAATCCCCGTCACTGGTGGTAATGACGGGAAATATCCCCGTCACTGATGGTAACGACGGTGATAATTACCGTCACAGATATGAACGACGGTAATATGTTCCGTCGTTATAGACTCTATAACGACGGGTATTATAACATTCGTGACCCTTTAGCGAAGAAAGCTTCAACGACGGGCGACCAAGTGATTTTTTCCCGTCGTTAGCATACAATAACGAAGGTTTTTAGCTCTTTAACGAAGGGAAATCCCTTCGTTAAAGACGTAATTTTTTGTAGTGAATGCTCCTTATGTTGAGACTAAATATAGGGAGTCATTTCTTGTCTTTGATTTGGAATACCAAATCATAAGCCCTATATTTAGTCTTCATTATTGGGAGCTTGTTGGAGCCAAATTTTTCCCTCATACTCCCTAAATTTACTCAAGGACATGAGATAGGGAGGCTCTTGGAGATGCTCTTCCTTATATATATGTATGCCTACATATTTTGTAAGTTTTTCCTATGAACTTAAGAACAGCCAAAAGCTCCTTATATATTTATCTTGCAGGCTTAGAAAACACTAGCACCCATAACCAAAACACTTTCTTTGTTAATTTCAATTAGCAAGCCTGACAATCTGGAATTTCCATCTCCCCTAAAATATCATAAGCAGGGTTATGGTGGGCCTCTTAAGATAAACAACAAACTAGCTAATATATTTCTAGATACTAAGAATGATTTGATATGTATTCTAACTTTTAAACCAACTTATATTTTGGTCTTCGAGAATGGACATTCTTAAAACAATGATTTCACTGATACTTTGTGCAATAACTGAAAATAGCTTCAAATAGGCAAAAAAAAACCCCAATAAATTTGCCCAAATCAACAGCACAAGCAAATGGGTTCTTCAGAATCTGTGAAAAGAGTTCAAATCAAGCAAATTCACGATGTGGGTTCTCTCAAAATTCACAAAAAATCGTGTAGAAATAAGAGAAAGGAAGGAACGGTCACCTTTTGAGAGGAAGAGGAGGAGGTAGTGGACTGGTTGATGCCACTGGAGGCTGATGCTTGCTCCATCTTCAAAGAGTGAGATTAGAGCGGGTGAAGAGACAACAGTCATGCACTAAGCATTTATTTAAGGGAAGAAATTATTTTTATCGAAGGAGAGGATGGAGCTGGAGGGCTGGAGGAGGGAGACGGAGGTGACGAGGCCGAGGCCGCTGAGGAGGGAGAAGCCGCGACGACGACGGAGGGCGAGGGAGGAGATGGCATCGTTGAGAATCTGGCTGAGGTTGTCGTCGTTGAGGATCAGGAAGGAGGAAGAAGAATGAAAGGGAGAGAGGGGTGATCAGAATGGAAGGGGAACTAGGAATCAAAGTTTCATGCAAAATGGGATAATGGTTAAGGTGGAGTAATTTTTTACTAGTGGGATATTTTAATGTGATAAATATGAATAATTTTGTGAAGCGAAATATTTTGATAAAATAATGTGGCATAAATTTTTGGAAAAATTACTTTTAGGCTCCAAATTTATATTTTCAATGTGCCCTATCCCCTCCTACTTTTTTTAATGTTCTTTAGCCCCTCCTTTTTGAAAAAAATATGTTCAAGCCCCTCCATCACTCCTCCATCATGATTCCAGCTCATTTCATCAGTTGATTAGACATGCCAGCTCATGATTAGACATATCAGCTGACTTAAATCCCGAATTTACCCTCCTCTTTCTCATGTCAGTGGATGTTAACTCTTTTCTGTAACATGTTAACTCTTTTCTATAACATATTAACTCTTTTCTGTAACATGTTAACTCTTTTCTGTAAAATGTTAATTTTTTTCTGTAACATGTTAACTCTTACAGATAACATGTTAATTCTTACAGCTAACATGTTAACTCTTACAGCTAACATGTTAACTCTAACAGCTAATATGTTAACTCTTACAGCTAACATGTTAGCTGTAAGAGTTAACATGTTACAGAAAAGAGTTAATATTTTACAGAAAAGAGCTAACAGGTTATAGAAAAGAGTTAACATGTTACAGAAAAGAGTTAATATTAATGTGCCCATGCGAAGTTCCTCAGGACGACGCCGGCGGCGGAGCGGGGAAGGGGGCAAAGGGGGACCGAAGGAGGAGGAGGGAGGTGCATGGGGATTGTGTATGGAGTTTGCATGGGAACTTGGGGAGAGGGGCTTTTAATATTTTTTTTTCAAAAAGGGGGGAGGCTGCAGCACATGTTTGAAAGTTGGGGGGGCTAAGGCACATTGAAAATATGAATTTGGGGCCTTGAAGCAATTTTTCCTAAATTTTTATAATCGTGAAATATATATTTATACATTTTGAAGATATAAATACAATTTATGTATTTTAAACTTGCTATTATTGATTGATAATTGTTTACAAGAATGTTTTTTTCTATTAATTAAATAATTTTTGATTAGACTATAAGATATTGATAATTATTATTATAATGATGGTCTAATGATGGTGATAACCATAATAGGAAAGAAGTAAAGAAAAAAAAATATAAAAAATAAAAATAACAAAAAAATATGAGTTCTAGTTTTTTACCACATAGTTCCAAGCTAAAACTAAGAATAGTTTGAGAGACTAGAACTCTTATTTTTGTACAGAAAAATAAAAAAAGTGGGATAATTTTGTACCATTATCCTAATTCTAGTTTTATTCTAGTTTTGTTATGGGGTGTTAGTCAATCGGGACATTTTCATGTAAAATAGGATAATTGTTAAAATGGAATAATTTTTCGCTAGTGGGATATTTTAGTGGGATAAATAGGAACAATTTTTTGAAGCGGGATATTTTGATAAAATAACGTGGGATAAATTTTTATAATCATGAAATATATATTTATGCATTTTGAAGATATAAATACTATTTATGTATTTTAAACTTACTATTATCGGTTGATAATTACTTACAAGAATGTTCTTTACTATTAATTAAATAATTTTTGGTTAGACTATAAGATATTGACAATTATTATTATAATGATGATCTAATGATGGTGATAACCATAATAAGAAAGAAGTAAAGATAAAAATAAATATAAAAAATAAAAAATAACAAAAAAATACGAGTTCTAATTTTTTACCACCTAGTTCCAAGCTAAAACTAAGAATAATTTGAAAGACTAGAACTCTCATTTTTGTATAAAAAAATAAGAAAAGTGGGATAATTTTGTACCATTATCCCAATTCTAGTTTTGTTAGAGTTCTACTTGACTAACACTGTAAAAATTTGTTCTAGTTTTAATTCTATGTGACTAACATCTTAAAAAATTATCCCACAGATTATCTCAGTTCTAATTTTAAATTCTAGTTGACTAACCCCCCCCCCCCTAGAGTTCTACTTGATTAACACTGTAAAAGTTTGTTCTATTTTTAGTTCTATGTGACAAACATCTTAAAAATTTATCTCACAGATTATCCTAATTCCAATTTTAAGTTATAGGTGACTAACCCCCGTAGAGAGATAGAAATGGGGTGTTTTTCGCTATAATCGGGCTTTTTCGAACGGAAAATTTTCGGGAGAGGACTTTGACGTAGCACCCAATTTTTCTTCACTTTCCTTTTTACTTTTTGCAAACTAAATATATGATTGTGGGGAAAATAGTACTCAATTTTCTGATGGATTATTTTTTGCCACTTTCTGCACTTTTTACCAAACAAACAGGCCCTAATTGGATTTGTTTGCATGTGATTTGGTCCCAAAAAAACACTCCTTCAGCACGTATAATGCGCGTGCATTTAGCAACAAAAGGCCAACTGAGCTATTCAAGCGATTCGTTCCTCCGTTCTCCGTCTTCTCGCTTCCAGCAAGGTAACCCCTATTTTTCTTGATCTCGAATTTATTTCCTAATTCTTTCTTCTCCTAATAAAATTCTAAATTCACTCAAGTTTTCATATTTTCCACCAAAATTTTTGATCGATCTCTTATGAATCTCCGATCGCCTTGTTGTTGGATTTAATTGTAAGTTCCCCCTCTAAATCGATTGTGATTTCTTGATTTCGGATTGGAAATGTTAAAAGATTAGGCCTTTTTGTGTTGGACTCCTTACAAAAATTCCTCATCGATGAGATGTAGATTCTTTTGGATAGATGCGTTAAATTTTAGGCTTTGGAATGATCTGAGCCCGTGGACAAAGTATTTAACTGTTATATCCTTATTGGACTGGCGCATTGCTGTTTGGTTTGAATTAACAAGCTCAGGAATTAGTTGCTATTTTGGATTTAGTTTGTTTTCTTTTTTAATTCCATATTTAGATTTTTCCCTTTCTTATGTTATAAGTATGTTATTACGTCATAAAGATGTTTGGTATGTTTGCGAGTTCACTTAGCGAAGGGAAGGAATGGGAAAAATTCCCCTTCCTTCCCTTCCCCTTCATTACCCCCAATTTGGAGTGTAACATTTTGGTACAAATTTCGCCCCATTCCCCTCTACCCTCCTAAATGCAACTCCCAAACAAGGTTAAAAATTACATTTCTCTTCTCCTCACCCTCTCTACCCTCCATCTTATATTTATACCAATGTAAAAGTGATTGATAGTTTATAACTTTTGAACAGAACCCCTACTTTGTGTTACTAGATATTAAGCGAGATATATGAGATTCTTGAATATGATTGTATGTTAAAGCATTCAATGGAAGAGAACTTGGGAGTTAGAACTTTAACTAGTAGGGCACGAAGATTATAAACTTAGTTGATGTGTTTCTTTAAATATATGGATTTTTAGTTCACGCAAATAGGACTATGAGTGGTGGGCTCCAATGAGATGTCTATTGGAACTTATTTCAACAAAAACTTTTTTAGTCTGTATGGGATCTGGGGTAATCGGCACTTTTCTAGTTTTCTTAAAATCTAGCTTATCATAGGGTAGCTCTTTTAATGGACATCATTTGTTTATGTATGTATCTATCATTTTGCGCTTTTATTGATGGATGGGTTTCTTTTAGGTAACATCTTTGTTCTGAATTTCTTTTTCTTTGGGGATAGCATCTGCATTTTGTATGAATTGTTGAAATGTGTACGGTGGTTTTTCGTTGGATTTCTCTCAGAAATGGAAATCGAGGGTGATTCCTTATGTTCCAAAAGTTACAATGTAACAGATCCATGCATGCAATTTTTCCCCTTGCTTTCTAAGTGTTGTATTGTGTTTGTGCAGGGTCAATCCATAAAAGAGTTGCTTCGTTTTCCCTTTACAGCTACCATGTGAGTGTGTTGTATCATAATGTCGTAAAGACAGCATTAGAAGTATTATAATGAATTGAAATGGTTTTTTGTTCAGGAAAAAGTAGAAAACTTCTCTTTTGGTGTGTACATAGGTCATCACAGAGGTTCAGCTAACTTTGTTTTATGTAGAATGCAAAAAGATTATAAATGAAACCAAACATACATTTCTTCACATCCCCCACTTCTTTGTACCTTTAAATGTCGTCAAGCTTCTTATCTAAAAGGCAATAGAAAGGCAGGAAGGAAAAAAAAAAGAACGGGAAAAAAGCAAAGAAAAGAGAAAATTGAGAAAGAGAAATAGTTATCTAGCTTCACAAGGAGATATCAAGTCCTTTGACTGCTCATAGCTTCTATTTTTTATTTGGAACAGCTTGTTAGCATGAGGGTTTTAATAATGTCCTATATCACTACTTACAAACTTTGTTTTTTACTTCTAAATCAAGTATTTATGTCTGTATGCAATAATATTTTCCTTCACTTGTTTAGGGCTGATGATGAACCTGTTGATCAGAAGAAATACCTTGAGGATTCTTGCAAGCCAAAGTGTGTAAGGCCTTTACGGGCATATCAGGTATACACTCCATATCTCTGCTCCTTGCCCTACTATTTTGATTTATTTTCTGTTTCTGCAATTTTAATTATTTGAAGTAAAAACACTTTATATGTTGCTTGCGCCAAAATTTAATATGAAACCTGTCATATTCACTACAGTAATGAACTTAAACTCATGATGTGATAAGATAGATTTCTATACCCACCAACTGCATTTTCAGCTTTATGATTAACACTCACACTAGTCTCCACAATCAAGGATTGCTGCAAGTTCTCCTTTTAATTTAAATATAGATCCAGGCTCAAACAGCTAAGGACCTTCCTCATATTTTTTGTCATCATAATTCATATGTTTTTGTCATTAACCTTCTTGATGTGAGAAATTTGCTCTATATCAGACTCATTTTGATGGAGAAATCTCGTGCCATTAATATCTTGTAGTATGTTCTAAAACTTTGGTAAATTTGTGTGTATTATTTTCAGTTGTGGTTCTCTGCTATTTTATTTGCACTCCAGACCAAATATCAAGTTCTCCAGATTTCTCTGTCACTTTTTCATAATAATGACGATTTTTGCATCGTACAGGCAGTAATACTCCCGCTTTGCTGCATGCCATGCTTTAAAAAGAAGATAGTAAGCGCAAGATTGTAAACTAAATCACAAAAATATGTAGGTAATTAGAGTGCCACCTTAGCAGCAGTTAGTATTATTGCATATAGTGGTGCTTGCTCCTGGGTCAAATTGAAGTTTGCCTCCTCAAATTAGAATTTAGTTGTAAGCATGAAATCTAACATTAGAGTTTAGATATCAACTTAGCTAATCGTGCTAACACTTGAAGCTTAAGTTGAAAAGGCAATAGGTCCTCAGATAATGTCAAATTTTGTTTGGCACTTGTGCTTGACTGAAACAGGGAAAAACAGGTTCGTGGTATATGATTTGATGGAGATGAATTCAATATGGCAGTGCAGACTTTGCTAACCAAATGAGGTTACTGCTACCAAAAAATTTACTAGACTTCTGTAACCAAACCCCATCAACTATTAGTATAATATCAAACTGAAGCTGGTTCAGTAAATCCATCTCCACGCTACATCTGAATTTCCAGCATGACACCATGTTGTGCAGAAAAATAAAATCCTATTGAAGACCCTTCTACAGAAAATCTTGCAGGGAGGTAGGAAATTCTGACTTGTGTCTTGGTTAGAAATTCAGAAGTTGACAACAAACTCAAAGTTAGATTGTTATTAATCACCAACTTTTAAGATTTGTGCTAGGGTACATGTCAAATATTCCAGTCTCCCTTTATGTTTTTTATAGAGAACCCTTGTTGGGGTTTTCTTTTTCTGTGGTAACTGGTGCATATGGTTGTCGCGTGCTTGAGTGTGTGTTTAAGTATGTGGTACTTTCGAGACTAATAGCTTGCAAGGTCACGCAACTTAAAAAAGGGTATAAATGTTGTAAAAAATTCTGCTTCACTTGCAACATTATGATTTCCCCTTGTAACAAGAGTCTCTTAAAATTTCTACAGGCTTGTGTTGAGAGAATTAAAGACGACGAGAGCGGGAACAAGCACTGCACAGGGCAATATTTTGATTACTGGTTATGTGTAGACTCATGTGTAAGTTTAGTTTATTTCTTTCTGCTTTGTTTTCTATGAACTAAATTCGCCTCATTCATTCAGTCCTTACCTAAGATTTCTTCTTAATATTGCAGGTTGCACCTAAGCTTTTTCACAAACTGAAGTGAGCTAATTTTAGTACACATTTTGTTTCGGATTTGATCTTGAATAGGAGCCTGTTATTGACTCCCATTATGTACTGAACTCTTTTTATGTTCTTGCCGATGCCTTTTTGTTTAACGAAACCAAATAAAGGAAACTCCTGAGAAACCTCTGATTTCTTTCGAGAGCTATTTTTGTTATAAGGTGATTTTGAAATGGGTAAATTGTTTCATTTGTTTATGGTATTATTTCGTTTGTCTAGAGGAGTTGCGTCAACATCAGGCGATGGATAAGTTGAAATTGTGGATCATGTTACAATCTGTAGAATTAGTGGAAGAACTGCGTGAGTATTTTTTTTTATAGTTATCTATCAACTGCTCAGAAGAATTGTAGATGTTTTTGTTGAGTGTTGGAGCGCATTACCTTTTATTTATGCATACGTAATACTTCTTTTGGGTTAATTGCAGGGGTTAATTGCAAATAAGGCTCCCGTGGAATCGCCTGATTTGCTGTAGTTTTATTTGCGCAGATATCTGTAGTTTTATTTGCACGGATATGACATTGTTGTATTTGCCCGAATGTGAATATATCACCTTCGTGAACTATGTGAATATATCACCTTAGTGAACCATTTTGATATTTTTACAATTTAAAAAAAAAGTAATTGAAGATTTTTTTTCCAGTAGTATTCTACTCGTCTCCTCAACACCTTCGTTACTAACACCTTCACTACTTTCGAGATCTATCCTCACCACCGTCAGGTGTCTACCTGCTGCATCCTCAAAAAGTTCGACTATTTTAAGAGTGAAAAAGATATACTTGGGGGGTTATATCCATAGAAATAAATGGGGCTGAGCAATACTCAATTAAATTGTGACGCTCCTGGGTTTACAAAAGGTTGTAGTCCAAGGTAAAACCAGAGATGTCAAAGTTGGTATCAGAGCTAAAGAATGAGAAGCTTCTGAATCGAACAAGATCCGAGCTGGAAAAGAATAATCATTAAGAAAGCTCCGCTCGCATCATGATCACGCGGTACGATTGCATAAACTCTACTGGTGGCTGGTGACTGCTATGTTACTAGAGGTAGAATTTATGGGATTATCTATCCCTAAAATAAAAAATACCGGTTTATTTTCAGATATTACTTCCATGCAGACACTGAAACGATCACAGATATGAAATTAGTTGTAAAATTGAAATGCCGCTTGCTATAAACAGATACCTTCAGTGAAAATGTTTTGACCATGTGGCTGCTAAAATCTCCCAACTTAGAAACGAACACAAGAATTACAAATTTCAGCACCCATATAGTTGTGAGTTTCTAAAGAAACCAAAATCAATCGCCATCATAAGCTTGAAACTCCACAATTACGATTCCAACAATTGTGACGCATCACAATTTCTCAATCAAATTTGGGGAAAAAAATTTCCCAGACATTTAGGCCTTCGCTCAGTCTTTACAGGCGTAACACAATATCTACAGTGTGCAAGTAAAATCCAAGTTCTCTTATTAAAATCGAAAAACAAAGAATGATACGTAGCAGCTGCTATGGACTTTCGTGACGTTTCTTTAATAGGATAATCAGTGAATAAATTACACGCGGCCAAAAAATGACTGTCAAACATTTGGGCTTGAACCTATATTCCATTTAAATACATCAACTTCCTCCTAACTCATTTCAGGATAATTTCTACTTTCTAGTGCATCTTGGAAGCAAAATTTTGCATCAGAAAACACCAGCTACTGCTGATCTCCAAAAAAATATTGGCAGGCTACACATTAGATACCACGTTTCAACCTACTGTCCGGAAAATCAAAGACATAATTACAGTCTGAACAGTAATGCTTGATATCAATATTTAATGTTTTAACATTGACAGTTTTAAAGCTAGCAAGTTTATGTAGTGTAATTAACCGTGCTACATATTTCAATCTCACACAATCCCATATGAAAATATTTGTTGAATAAAGAGAATCAGTAACTGGAGCCTGAATAGTATATATGCTGTAAAACTCAAAATTATTTCTTCCGGACATTGAATAATCTAATAATAGCCAGATGGAGAGTAGCCAGATGGAGGTTGAGAGTCCTGAGGTTGAGACGGTGGAGGTCTTGGCTGGGCATACTCTGCAAAGATGACCCATCCATCGAGATACTGCAAGCAAATTTAACATTGTCAGAGAATGAAATACAGAGCACAAATTTATTGTTCACATCCTCTCCAGGATCAACTGTGCCCTTGGAAACATCAGATAGAAGCATCAAACAGTATTATTCCTTTCCTCGTATACCAGAAGAATAAAAAAAGTATTCATTCACCCCCAGTGGCGGAGCCACGCTAGTTCAAGGTGGTTCCCTTGAACCACCTATATTATTAACTTACAAGCAAACGCCTATATCCAGTTTAAAGTCACTTGCTTCTTTTTTTAACCCAAAGCGGGGGTTTGTACCAATATTATTAAATTTGGATCCACCGATTAAAAACTGGGGTCATAATTTAAAACCCCAAGGATTCTTAAGCCTGCCACTTCTGAAATCATTCTTAACCCGGAAATAACATACTGAACTAATTATTCTGAAACCGAATTCATTGCAAGAGGAAAGTGGCTATATGAGTTGACAGTCCAATTTGCGAAATGGCTTGCCAACTAACTTTCATTTGAGCGCTACACCGACATGACTAGCACTAGCAGAGAGCCCACCCTTGTTTCTCCTCTATTTCTTTTTCCCCCCCACCCTTTTTTTTTTGAGTTATTTTTTATTATTTGCCAATTAACCCCTAAATTCAATTCAAACCAATTAGTTCAGCCCTCAACAATCTTCTGTTAGATTTGTAACAGAGATAAATCAAAGTCCTATTTTACAAAGCTTCTACTCCCTAAATTTTTTTTTTTAAATTTGAGGATTAAGAAAAATTTGGAGAATGAGGAGGTATGTTATCAACTTAATTAATTATATGTTGCGGGCACTTCAGTGGTATTTTGCAAACACTAATCAACTTAACAAAACATGGAGGTATCTAGTATATTCTCTAACAGAAAACATGGAGTTCTCGTAATGCGAGGGTCATTTGGCAAGTATGAAAAACAGAGGGTATTACCATACATTTGAACAAATATGAAGTTTTTTTTTGTGGGTCTTGTTTTGTTTTGTGTGTTTGGGTGGGGTTTTTTGTTTTGTTTTATGGAGTTAGCAAAAAATACTATTGAAAAGGTCAATTGCAGTGTGCTCACCTGGCCATGCATTCCCTTTATGCCTTCAGCGGCCTGTTCTAAAGTGGCATATCTCACAAAACCAAACCCCTTTGAGTATCCAGAAACGCGGTCTGTTACAACTCTAGCTGCCAAGTGAAACAAAATCAAAGCCATCATCCCCTGGACTTCATCATCATTATTACTGCTATTGCTCTCGATGAAAGGCAGCAGATATAGACACATGCGCGCGCGCGCACAGACACACGCATGCACGCACCCGGCGCGCGCGCACACACCCATGCCCGCAAGGCGCGCGCGCACACACCCATGCCCGCACGCACGTGCGCGCGCGCACACACACACAGAGTTGTGATAAAATGAGATGAAGAGCTGAAAACTTAAACATGAGCTGAAAATTTTTAACCCCTCAATCTAAATATATGGCTGCGATTTTATGTAGAAAATATGTTAACACTGAAAAGTGAACCCCACTGCTTACTCCACTCCAGAACTGCGGCAAGCGCCCCAATCCTCCCTCCACAGACTTGAATCTCATATCCTCTCTCCACCGACTTGAGTCTCATCCGCTCCGTATTTTTCCAATGTTCTCAACAGAAAATCAATCAAAAATCAGAAAATCATTACTCTTTACCAGTTTAATAAAATATAAATGTTTTCTAGTTTGTTTCATCGTTGGGTTTATGGTAGGATAGTTGCTCTTGTTTGTCAAAAATATATTTGATAAATTCCCCTTTGAATTATTTGTGTTAGCTTCTAAACAAATATTCTTGAATCTGATGATGTTGAGGTATAAAAAAAAGGTGAATTTTAACTTAGCAGTCCTTGTCCAGCTTTATCTCACGAGTATGGAAAGTTTGAATTAGTTCTCAACGCTGTTCAAACCTATTAGACTCGTCTTTTGCTTTGGAGGGGAAGAGAAAGGGGAAATGTCTGTGAAGGTCAAGGACGCTCTCTTCAACAGCGGAGACCGGAGATACACAATGAAGTGAGAGCAAGGAAACTAAAGATCTGGTGGTCGGAGTGCAAGTATCAGATCGAAAGGAAAAAAATGGGAATGGAATCACCAAAGAAGTATGAGACCTCAACTTCTTAGTTACCTTAACTAACCGATTTAAAGGTTAACAAATCTCCAGCTCAGCTTCCCATTAACTTAAAACAAATCTCAACCATTAGACTTGATCCAATCAACAGAAATGCTCAGCTCACATTATTTATTGCACTCTCCGTCTCATAGTATCATTACTTGTGTGTGTGTGTAGATAGAGAGAGAGAGAGAGAGAGAGAGAGAGAGAGAGAGAGAGGAGAGAGAGAGAGAGAGAGAGAGAGAGAGAGAGAGAGAGAGCTATAAGGTCTTGGATTGTTGTTGTAAGTTCTTATTATTTGAAAGGCAGCAAATTTTGCTTTCAGAAGAAACATACCGTGGAGAACTTCACCAAATTTTGCAAAAGCTTCTCTTAACCCCTCAGATGTAGTCCTCTTGCTAAGACCTGCCATTGCATCCACGTTTAGAATCTCCATGTTAGAATCAATTAAGAGATTATGAATATGTATGAAGTGGTACATGTATCATGCGGTTAAGGCAGAAGCTAGGGCTCTAAGAACAGTAAAATATGTTAGAAGGTAGATATTGCTCGAGAAGGACAATTCTTCACAAAGAAAATGAACGAGAGGCACATTGCAAGGAATTGGAAGAAAATATTCATTAAAAAAATGAGCCCAAACCACCTATCAACGATAAGGAAAGGAAGCAAGCGACTTCACTCAATCATACAAAACCTAAACAAGTAACCAAAAAAGAAAACTTGCTCTAACGTAATTCATCAATTAACATTAATGGTTATTGCCCACATGGATCTCAAAGACATTGTTAAAACCATAGTCAACAAAAGACATTATCTCATGTATCTAAAAAATTTTTAAAAAACTGTAGCGTAAGTTGTGGTTTCCACTTGTCTATTTATCTAATAAACGTGTAAAGCATAGAAGGCACATTCATCTCATGCAATGAAATAAACAATATAGTAAGGATCGACAATTAGTACATTAGAACTCAAAAGGAATAAACATAAAGAATAATTAAACAAATTAACCATTACAAAACTGGGAATCTGGGATATGTTTTACATATTAAGGACTCTATTAAAATAAACAAATTAACCATTACAACAACCACTTTGCAAATCATTTGACATAATTGATATATAGTTTTTAAATTTTCCATGCACGTTTTCACAAAAAATATTTTAACTCGGCAAAGCTGCTTACAATAAAAGAGTCCACATTTACAAGTTCTAGGGACTAATATTAACGCTCCTTATACTTTTGTTGTTCCCTCCTGTAGGGCTTCAAGGCAGAAAACTCAGTACCACGAATTAAATTTAAGGTCCACTATTACAAGAGCAACAAACAAAGTGATAACTGCCATCATTCAGTAGACAAAAAGAACATTTGAAGAAGAGGAACACATGGAAGAAGAGTACCAGCACGAAGAACAGAACCATGAGACCAGAAGAAGAAGAATAAAACCTCCTCAATTTGCACAATTATATAAAAGAGTCTAAAAAAAGTTACAGGCATCTATTCAAAAAATGACCCAAAACATTCTTCTTTTAGTCCTGTTAGAAGATGCACGGGATAAATAATAATAATCCTAGCATACTCCAATCATCCTATACAAATCATTTCCAACAGGAATACTCTTTTCTAAGTAGAAATAAACTACTATACCAATCATAGAATTTCCGTAAGTCCCTATCATGGGAAAGGTTACACTCAAATCTTCTGTTAACAAAGACAGAAGAATGCTGAAACATCAAGATCTCTAAAATCCAAATGCATAAACAACCTTTAAGAGTGTTCTAGTTTCTAAAGAATATAACAACTGATCCACTAGATAAACATCCAACAATCATAACATTATCCAGTCACTAAATTTCTAAACATGCAAATGCATACAATAAAAAAAAATTATGCAAATTGGTTCATGAAAGGGCCAATACTAAAAAGACGGAGTCTACCATTTAGTTCATGCAATATCTTCACCTAAATCTACTCACTTTTCTCAATCGCTGATATTAAAAAGCATATCTTCACCTATCACTGTGCAGCTTCTACACATGCAAAAGTGACATTCAACATAAGGCTACTCGTTATAATGCAGTATAGATGACATTCCAATCTAATACCTCCAAGGCTCCAACATATCAACAGATCACGTCTCGTAAGATTACCTTTCAGTAACTTCAATATCTCACATATGAAAACAGACTCAAGAGGATATTTATCAACATGACATTAGCCCTACATACTCGCTTGTATCCACATCTCATATTTGATTCTATAGGGCCTCCTTCACCAGTTAAGCCCCTAAACTTAGTTTTGAATCTTCTGATTCTAAAAACAAACAATACATATTAGTTTTGTTTATAACTGGGTCATTATAGTTGGAAACTGACCCTTACATTGGAAACTTCAATATTAGTGATAGCTAAGAAGAAATAATTTAATAGGAAGTCAGTAATGGCACAGGACGGATAACAGTTTGCTACTTTTTGCAGTATGTGGTACGAAGAATATGCTTATTTCATCAATATTCTGGTTGACACTTGGAAGCCATCCTAGGATCATTTCCATAATTCTGCATATTTTTTGGGTGCATGTTTATAAAGCAGAGATATATGTACTTTCATAAAACTAAGGATCAACATAATAGAAACTTCCGTCTTTTCAAAAGATAGATAACAAAAACCAAGCTAAATAATCTTAATTCTGGTTGTGCATTAAATAAAAGTTTAAAATCCAAATTTAAAACCAGCATGTGAATCTCAAAAGTTGCAAATCGTCTAGAAAAAAGCCATTACAAGCTAAATATAATAAAAAAGATCACTGGATCAGTTAGTCCAGTTCTCTTCTTTTATTTCTTTGATTGCCAGCTTGTCAACCAGAATTGAGAATGCACCATGAATAGTGATACACGAACTGGATGTTAGGACTTACAAGGTGTGAAGTGAATTAGGTATAAATTTTGTGAACCTTTCTAGTTACGTTATCCATTGTTAGCGAGTACTCATTTCCTGCATCACTATAGCATTTCCAAAAAAGGTCAAGAGAAAGGTGTCCTTTCCTGTAAGCCTGTTGCTATAACTATGAGAATTAAGAAATCTAGTCAAGGACTCTGTCTGCTCGGCGACAAATATAAGCATGGTTTGCGAACAAAGGGGTCACCAGCCCACATAGAAATCCAAAGCCGAACTGCAGGTGCAAGGACATTATTCCAAAGTCCCACAGATTTTCACATAAACAAAGACCTTTTATTTTTGTCGAATAATACTTACCAGAAATGGAAATCTTTTGAACAAAGGTCATAATCCAATGCCATTCTTTTACCATTGAACCAAGCTTTAATGACCCCTTAGATGTTGTTCAAGAGATACACACCACCATGTAGACTTATAATTGTACTGATTTTCTTTTCCCATTAAGTAAGTACATTTCTTGATGCCTTTGTATAATGTCCTCAACATACAAAGTATCCCCTCTCCGCTCTAATACCACTGAAGTTCTAGCCAAATTTCTAACAAACTTAATCCGCAGTAGTAAAACTAAATATTAGATGCATCTTCAATATTTGATCCCACTAAAATTACAAAAAAGTAAATATTGTTCAAGTGCTTAATAGGCATAAACCAATACCACAACAGTAAACCAGTTGACTAAAGCATTCAGTAAAGAAACACACACATAAGCATGCTAAGGAATATAATAATGGTATACAGGTGAATGTGCTGAGAAAATTCAAACAATTTCTTGTGCTAGAAGTATCATATGTTTTAATCATTGTATTAGAAACAACAGAGACAGCAGTAAAAATTTTACTAGAGCACCCCCTATATAGGTGCTCTGAGACATCCACGGGAGCATAGAATGACAGTTTTCATGACAGTTCTCAAATAATATTTGTACTCTAGGTACTGAGAGACCACTAAATGAGGCCAAGTTTTCTCAAATTCACCAAGCTTAAGTTCCTACGATCAATCAAGAAATACAATTTAACTCGACTATAATTTTTCAGGTGCGTATATATGTGTGCCATAAGCATTTCCAACAAAGGTTTAAAAAGATCAATTTAGGCTTTCCTTTCATATGGTTATGACTTCAGCTGTTCCATCATCTTGATACAATAGATTACCATGATCTTCAACGATAAATACATGCAGATGAATTCAACATGAAACGTCTTGTGCCATCTCCTCTTAATGCGGGGCAATCGTTGATATCAAAAGCTAACCTATAATGTTTCAGGGCATAAAAGTAGTAGACCTCCCCCCAAAACATCCAACTCCCTAACAAAACCCTAGATTGAGGAGCAAATTACGGAAAGATTCGATCTTTGCCAACCGTCTTCACTGCTTCACACAAATTCATCCACGTCCATTTTGATTACGCCATGATTTCCACAAATAACGTAAAAAGAATTCATTTTGGTACAAAAGAGGCAGCAGTTCACCTGATACGAAGAGGTTGGTTGAGGGCTCCGCCGCAGGCTGGGCGGCGGCAGGCGGCGGCGGAGTGAATCCAGGAATCGAAGAGATCATTCGCCGGAGTCCAAAACGGCTCGCTGCAATCGCCATCTCTCTCTCTCTCTCTAAAAGCTGAGGATCAAGGGTTTTAGAAAGAGAAAAGATCGTTCTAGGGCTTTAGAGAGAGATGCGAGGCGACAACGAACGCTAGATCTGCGTGGGCCATTTATAGAAATGCCCTTTCCAGTTGGGTACAGTTAGGGGTGAGCACGGTTCGGTTCGGGTCGGTTTTTATTAAAATTTGAACAACCGAACCGAACCACCTACAATTCAAAACCGAACCGAACCATTACAAATCGGTTCGGTGCGGTTCGGTTCGGTTTGTTCGGTTCTAACTTCATCAAGTATAACTTCACTTCAATTTATCTTTTATATATTATTATTACCCTATGCCAGCACGTATTTGTTTTTTAACTTCACTTCAATTTATTATTTTTGCTCATGTATGTATACTGTTTTTAAGTGAAGTAACTTGTCCTTTTGGATTAAATACTAGACTCTGACGTTGTAATTTTTTAGTAACGGACTTGCTTTGTCTTTGTGTAGCAAGCTTTGACTTTGGTCTTTGTGGATACAAAAAAAGGAGCCGACTCATTAGAACATTGGTTATGTATGAATCAATTCCCTGCAACTACTATTCATGGTGATCGAACACATCAATAAACCCACAAATCAAAGGCACAAATATATTCGGTTGGTTCGGTTCGGGTCGGTTTGAAAAATTGTCAACCCGACCCAAACCGTCTTACTCATAAAACCGCTTTTTCCGGGTCGGTTCGGGTCGGTTCGGTCGGTTTTTTCGGTTTGAACCGAACCGTGCTCACCCCTAGGTACAGTTTTGTGTTTGATGCCTAAAAGACGAAATTACCCCTGAGGTTTTGCAGGGGTTTAGTCCTTGTGGGCCGGCTTTGGGTATGGCCCAACGTGAAAAGTTAAATCAGCCCAATTTTTCCTCAAGTTAACCTAGGGGTGTGCAAAGTTCAGTGTTAACCGACCGAATCGACCGATTTCCCACGGTTCGGTACGGTTTTGATCATCCATCGGTTCGGTTCGGGTTCAGAAACTTTCAACCCGATTAAACCGATTAAACCGATCCGATCGAACTTTCCCCCACCCGCTATAACCCATACCCGATACCCATTACCCGACTACTATAAAAATCCCAAATTCTCATTCATTCCCCACCCTAAATCTTCTGCTGTTCCCTCTCTCGATCTGGTCCCCGCCGCCGCCTCCACCAATGGCTAGATTCCCAACCCTAACTCTCATCTCACCAGACCGTTCACTAGATCCCCAACCCAACCCTAACCCTCGCCAGATCCCCAACCTTAACCTTAACCCTCAAGTCCCCCTTCTTCAGCCAGCAGGCGGCGACGTCGACAGCGAGAGCGCAGCTCGAGAGTGGCGTCTACGGCGAGCTCGAGGGTGTCCACTGTCCAGGGCTACGTCGAAGGGGTCTTCAAAGGAGAGGAGGGAGCCGAGGCGGCGGAGGAGGAGGGTTTTTAGGAGGGAGGGGGAGAAGGGGAGGTCGTTTTCTTACTGCACCCAGGTACTTCTAGTCCCTTTATTTTTTGCGTTTTTGTTCTTTAGTGCAGCTGTGAGGCAAGGACGGCGTCGACGGCGAGCTCGAGGGTGTAAACCAACGGCACCGAACCGAACCGTATCAGTTCGGTTCGGGTCGGTTCTCTTGAGATCGTCGGTGATGTTCGGTTGTCAATTTTTTATCGAAACCGACCGAACCGACCGAATGCTCACCCCTAAGTTTACCAAATAAATTTCTTAGGGTGTTTTTGGCAACAAGTTAGACCAGGACTGAACCTGATCCAATTTTAACTTGTTTCTTGTTTGTCAAATTTTTATGTCAGAGCTAGCCTAATTTTTTTAACCTAAATAGTGTCACTAAATCAGTTTTCTTTTGGACCAGGGTGAGGGGAGAGGGGTTGGTCTAAAAGAGAACTTGTTTAGTACAAAACTGGGTCAGGACTAGTCCTGACCCAATTTAGTTCACTTTGTTAAACACACTCTTAATGTCCGCAAATAATATGAGTTCATATTTATTTTTTCACTATTGAGTATCCAAAATGGATACTCGTATTTTATAAGAAAAGCAAATGTAATGCTACTTATAAGTATCATTATATTGTTTTTAATAGCAAAATCATGACATTATAATGTGAAAGTGCTAAAAATTTAAGCAGGTAGCTTTTAATAGCAAATAATATGAGTTCAGTATATTGTTTTTAATAGCAAAGTCATGAGATTATAATGTGCAGGTGCTAAAATTTTAACCAAGATGTTTTTAATAGCAAATAATATGAGTTTCATTATATTGTTTTTAATAGCAATATCATGAGATTATAATGCGAAAGGGCTAAAATTTTAACCAGCATGCTGTTTGGCAAGGGAAAATGGTTAAGGGGAAGGACTAAATTATGCGAAGGGAAAATGGTTAAGGGGAAGGACTAAATTAACTAACCCTTCACATGATGTTAAAAATAATTAAACATCGTTTGGATTTGACAGTCAAGACAAAGGGTTAAGTTTTTTGTGATTGGTAAATAAAGAAGGGTTAAGGAGGCTAGTTGACATAAATACCCTAAATTATATTCTTCTTAAAGTTTTGTTTCTTATTTTGAGAGGGAGTAACTCCTAATCATTCTCTTAACCGGGTGCATTATGAGATAAGCGTAAAGATTTTTACAACAATAGATGCTACTAAAAGTGGATTAATATTCTATAGCCCCGTTTGGCAAAGGGTTAAGGAAGAGGGGTTAAAAAGAATGATTAATGTACTTAGCTCATTCGATAATCTGAATGACTAAATTATTAACCCGTTAAATAAGTTTTATTTTAGTCTTTGTGATCAGTTTTAGTGTTTGGGAATAACAATGATTTTGACTATTTTCTTTATGATTAGAAGGGTTAATTCTTAATCATTCTAAATAGGAGTATTAGTACACCCCTCATTATAAGGGGTTAACTCATTTTAATCCCTCTAGAGGGGTTAGCTTAACCATTCTATATTTTTTATGTTTGGTAAATTATAGAGGGTTAACTCACTTTAACTCTTGTATAGATTTTTTGTATTTGGCGGGTTAAGAAGGGGTTAAGTCTTCTTAACCCCTCACTTAACCATTTGCCAAACGGTACCTACTTGATAGAAGTGGGTAGGATGACAACTAATCTTGGTTTGAATTTGCAGCAAAAGAATGCAATGGATATTAATTTTTTATTCTTTTCTGTATATATGATTGAAAATGAGATGTATATGAAATAAAGCGATGCAACGAACATCTTTTCCTTTTAATCGCTCGGGATCCTTACATGGGATCTCTACAAGTACTTGTCTCAAGTTTAGTTCCCTTTATTCATATACATAAGTGTAATTTAGTTACCTTTAAAATTCTTAACTTTTTGTATGATTATCTGACAATTGATTATTTTTAAATTTCTTCTAAGCTGCTGAATTTGTCTCTGTAGTGCCGGAAAGTAGATTTGGGAAGAGAAAATAGGCAACACGGACCGTATTTATTAATAGAAAAATAAAGCTTCTTAAATGAGAGTTTGTTTGTAGTTAATTTTATACAAAACTAGGATGCATGAACTTGTTGGGGAATTTAGTCTCCCCGCCTATTACGATTTGCGCAACTCGAAAGCTAACTCACAATCAATAAGATAAAAAATAACCCAATCAAGAAGAAAGAATATCGGGATTTACGTGGTTTGGTCGACCAACTTCGACCTACGTCCACGGGCAATAATACGAGAAATCCACCATGTATCAGGGAGAACTACAAGAAAAACCACTCAACTCTCGTCTCTCAATCTCTCAACCTCACATACATAATAAACTCTCATATTATCTCCAAAGCCCTCTCCTTACAATCTTTTGAACGGACAAAGACTGCGAAACCCTCTTCTAATGATGTAATCATTTGCACGGATAAAGACTACGAAACTCTCGCCTCTCGCACAATATTCTTGAATCAAGCTACAACCTCTGCTAACCTAGATTATAGGAATATTGGCTCTCTCTCTCTCTCTCTCTCTCTCTCTCTCTTTCTTTATATATATATTCTCTCTCTCTCTCTCTCTCTCTCTCTCTCTCTCTCTCTCTCTCTCTCTCTCTCTCCTGCTTATTTTTTTCCTCCAACAATAGAATATAATATATAGGGAAACCAAAATTCTATCTCTAACCTAACTTCCTAATTAGAATATGTTTTAAACTCCTAATCATGATGAGACTCAGTCTCCTAATCATGATAGATCTCTAACCCTATCTAATTTGTGTGAAGTTATACAAAGAATCAAAGACATAATCTCAACATGACTTTCTTTTCAAAATTGTATGACAACCATTATAATATATGCTTTGCTTGATGAAGCTAGAGTTTATTTGGCTAACTTGAACAAATCTAGAGTATTTCATCTATTGTTGCACTTTACCAGGGGAAAAAATCTATGATTGAATTAAGAACATAAATGATAGTTGCATAAGAGTTTAATTTTATGCAAAACTTAGGGCGGCATCTTCGAATATATGGCTGAAAGTTTAATTTTATACCAAACTTATAACTTTATGACTTAATAAAGTTTATTTGTTAACTGGAAAAAATCTGAATTAATCAACTGTTGTTGCACTTTTCCCAAAAAATATATTTTTTGAATTATGAATATAAACGATATTAGCATAAGAAGTAGAACTACATCCGTAACCTAAATACACATCTCATTTATTCTATTTATTAATGAATTATTTTAATTCTTTGTATTTTGATTCTAAGATTCATTCTTGCTTGTCCTGACCATTTACTATTTTTAGACTACTTTATTAAGACCTGAATTTTTAAATTTGAACTGCTTATGGTTCCCTCGATTTATCTCGGTTTTTCTTAATTTGCCATTCTTCTTTTTGAGAAGAGCTCTAACTTAAACAAGCATTTCCGGAAGCAGAAAATTCGTGAAATAGATTTTTAGCTTTATGAGTGTTGTAAAACTAATAAAGTAGACTAGAGAAATTAGACAAAAAGTAGAAAGAATTTTATTTCCTTAATTTCTCCTTGCAAAATAAGGTAGGAATACCTCTATTTATATATAAACTAAGATGGTGATACATGAATCATATTAATTACTCATAGAGAATATCAAGGGGTAA